CCCTTTAATATAATTTTACATTCAAAATTATTATGACTGTCGTATCAGGAAGAAGAAAGCTTGAATTTCAAATCTAAGCTTCAGCACACAGAGCCAACAGTTAGGAAAACAAACTCAGCTTGTGTTCTTCAGAGCATAGCTACACTTTACTCATCAAAAAAACATCAATTTATTTTCTAGCAACAGAATTTTTTGTATACTTCCTCCTCAGCCTAGCAAAGCATGTTGCTCAACAGAGCAAAGGTGGGATTAATTGCACTGCTGTATAATCTAAATTTGTCTGATTATGGATTATGGGTGTTGATGGTCTGTTTCATAACTCCTTGGAGCACGTTTACCAGAGCAGTGACTTGAGAGTAGCTGCAGCAGGAGTCTGTCAGCTTTCTGAAGGAGTAAGAGTAAAATCTGGGCATTCCCTCCCATACATAACATTGATAGAGGCAAAGAGGAGCCCAGAGAGCCCTGGGAATTCCAGAATCTGATTGTGACAAAGGTGCTATGTGCTACCAGATCCCATTCACTCTTTTCTTTGGACATAGAAAGAAATTAATTATTACCAAAATGGGAAGAAACAATAAAATAAGAAGGTTCCTTCCACCCACCCAAGTTACATCAGTTTAACAAAAATTGCTTCAACCTCAATGTAGCTAAACTTATGAAAAGCCTAGTAAGATACATTTGATTACCTGAAAATCAGATAAAGATGTTTAAATAATTCATACACATTTACTGAATCAGATATATTCAAAATTAAGAGAATCTACACAGGATTTTGCCCCTTAAAAGCAGACATTTAATTTAAAATTTAATCTAGATCTAGCTACAGACAGAATGGTCCTGTGGCAGATAGGTGCTGTAAGTGCATCCCAACAGGATACCAGCACTTCATATATTAGCTGGTGACATCTCTGCATTGGGTCAGGTAGCAGCAAACCAGTTTATCTTAGTACTATTCTGAGGCTCAACTATCTCCAAAACCACAGATTACGTGAAGAAGGTTATAGGTTATATAATTTTCCTCATTATCTAAATTTACCAATCTCTCTAGCATGCTATTGACTACAGCTTCACAGGCTGAGCATTAGCAGGGCATTGAAATGCAGTTGCTATTCATCAGAGAATAGTCAGGCTCAAGAAAACAGACTAATCAGATTTAGACACTAACTCAATTATGCTTGTTAGCAAAAATGTGTAGCAAAAACTATACTAGATAGCACGTGCTGGAAGGATGAACTTCAGAGTTTGATCTCTTCCTTCAGTGTGTAATTTTTCTTGCTTGGGACAATTGTTTCTTGGTTGTGCCTTCTCTGTACTGTCCCTTTGCTGGGTCCTAATGCTGATTCTCTTGACTCCGGACAGAATTTCATACTGCAGAAATAAAAAGGGAGTTCCTTTCTGATTACTAGCCATAAAGAGAATTGTATGCAATATATCCCTGTCCTTTCAAGCATGTTTCTACACACTGTTCATTGACAAGCCCTACTTGGATCTTTTCCTACAGACATTGTTGGAAATCCGTTTGTGTCATGTAAAAGCAGTTGGTTCCCATGAGTTGTCTCAGTGTGTCTCATCAACAGGCATGAGGTGAGCGAAATTCCTTGTATTGGCTGTAGATGAGATCTGGCATGTGGTTTCAGAATGAAGCACAGCAGTATATTAAACACTGGGAAGCCAGTCATAGGTATTAGTTGCCCATTGTACATCAGTTGTATCCCTGGTTTAAGACACAAGTAAAAGGTGACTTCTTTTTAAAATTGTCTATAAAAGCCCTGCCCTGAAAGAATTTTATCTTCATTGTTTTAGAAATGAAGATCTGCTTTTCTTCAGGTTGCTCTGCAGTCCAGACCAATACAAATGGCAGTGTGTTTTAGACACCTATCAGAGACACAGCATGCACATGGAGAAGACAAATAGCTGGCCTACAAGTTGATCAGCTGGATTTTCAGGAACTCAAGGTAAGGTGATACCACCCTGAAATCAGATGGTGACTCAAGAAGCAAGTTATTTCCCTGTCATCTTTCTCCATCTGCAAAACGGGTATATTTGTCCCTTGATGAAAAGCCATAATCTGTGTTTTGTTTAATCATTCAAAAAATACCTGAGCTGCCACAGGGGTGGCAAGGCAACAGGTAAGTGCAGCCTGTGTGCAGACTGCTGCATGGCTCTTTCTTTTGGCAGTGCTCATGGAGCTGCAGTACCTGAGATGCATCGTGGTGAGGAGTGCTTGAAGATGGTGCATCATGTGAATGGACAGGTTTGCCAGAGGGATGTCTTCTTTCCAATGTGGACAATAATCCCCTAGCCAGGGAGGCCTGTGTGGCTCATGGCACATGGACCAGTTTCTTACCAGAATGATACAGAGCAGCATAAGATTCAAAGAGCAGTTCTAAAGCCATTTGCAGAAGCAAAGTATATGTGTAAAAGGAGGGAATGTACCTGACTCTCCGCTATCTGTTACAGATTGGGCAGCTGTTCCAAAAATTACCTGCTGCTGGAAAAAAACCTATGTATTTTCCTGGGGAAGGATTTTCACTGGAGAAGAATGAATGCCAGTCACGCCAACATCAACTCCAAACATCCTCCACATTTTATTGGGCTGTAGCAAAATGCAGCCCTAGGTCTTCTGTCATCATAGCTGTTAACACCATTAATATTTGTCTTGAAATACGTTTATGTTTCTGCTCAACCTCTCTTGGTCCTTCCTTCTTTCTTTTGTTCCTTTAACTACTTCCGCAGTTAATCATTAATGACAACT